AGAACGTTTAATGTTTTGCTCTCAGCAATTTTTAAATGTACAATATTCTATTAAATATATTCACCATGCTGTGTAATAGAACTAAGAAAACCCCATATTCCTCTTCCGAGATTTTGTACACTTCATATCCCCATTCTCCACAGTCCCAGCCTCTGTAACCTGTTTTAGATTCCACATATAAGTGAGAACATGTGGTATTTGTCTTTCCATGTCTAGCTTATTTCACTTAGCATAATGTTCTCCAGTTCTATTCATATTGTCACAAATAACACAATTTCCTTCTTTTGAATGACTGAATAGTATTCCACAGTATATACACACCACATTTTCTTTGTTCATCTGTTGATGGACAGTTAGGGTAATTTTTCTTTTTTTTTGAAAGAGTTTTGTTCTGTCATTCAGGCTGGAGTGCGGTAGTATAATCTCAGCTCACTGCAACTTCTGCCTCCTGGGTTCAAGCAATTCTCATGCCTTAGCTTCCTCAGTAGCTGGGATTACAGATGTGCGCCACCACACCCAGCTAATTTTTTTGTATTTTAGTGGAGACAAGGTTTCACTATGTTGCTCAGGCTGGTCTCGAACTCCTGAGCTCAGGCAATCTACTCGTCTCGGCCTCCCAGAGTGCTGGGATTACAGGTGTGAGCCACCACGCCAGGCGAGGGTGATTTCATAAACTCTTGAGAATAGTGCTGCAATGAACATGTATGTGCAGATATCCCTTCAATAAACTTTCAGATCATCTGGGTAAATACCCAGAAGGCATTGCTAGATCAGGTCATTGTTTAAGCAAAAATAAGAATTTGCTGTGGAGTTCATATAAAAGTAAATGCATGACAGTAGCCTAAAGACTGGAAAGAAAGAAATGGAAATACACTATTGTAAGTTTTGTTTTGAGACAGTGTCTCACTTGTTGCCCAGGCTGGCACAATCGCAGCTCGCTGCAGCTTTGACCGCCCAGGCTCAAGCAATCTTCCTTCCTCGGCCTCCCAAGTAGCTGGGACTACCGGTGTGCACCACCATGCCCCACTATTTTTGTATTTTTTGTAGAGATAGGGTTTTGCCACATTGCCCCATCTGGTCTTGAACTTCTGGGATCAAGCGATCCGTTTGCTTTGGCCTCTCAAAGCACTGGGATTACATGCACATATTAGTCTGTTCTCACACTGCTATCAAGATCTACCTGAGACGCTAATATCTAAAGAAAAGAGGTTAAGTTGACTCACAGTTCCACAGGCTGTACTGAAAGCATGGCTGGGGAGGCCTCAGGAAATTTACAGTCATGGTGGAAGGGCAAATGGGAAGCAAGCATGTCTTCATCTGGCAGGATAGTGAGCAAAGGGAAATGCTACGTGCTTTCAAGCAACCAGATCTTGTGAGAACCCACTATCATGAGGACAGCAAGGCAGAAATCTGCCCCCATGATCCAGTCACCTCCCACCAAGTGCCTCCCTCAACACTGGGGATTACAATTCAACATGAGATTTGGGTGGAGACAGAGCCAAACTATATGAAGGCATGAATCACTGCACCCAGCCTGTTGTAAGTTTTTTATACTATGCATGAAGTGGCATGATAGCACTTAAAGGTAGACTTTGATAAGTTAAAGATGTATGCTATAAAGCAACCACTGAAACACAAAAGTCCAAAGAGTTTTAGCTAACAAGCCAACGAAGGAGATTAAATAGAATCTTAAGAAATAATGCCTGAAAAGCTCACTGGGCGAGGCGACTGATGCCTGTAATCCCAGCACTTTGGGAGGTCGAGGCAGGCAGATCACTTGAGCTCAGGAGTTTGAGACCAGCCTGGGCAACATGGGGAAACCCTGTCTGTACTAAAAATAAAATTAGCACAGCATTGTGTACCTGTGTACCTGTGTGTACCTGTGGTCCCAGCTACTCAGGAGGCTAAGGTGGGAGGATCACTTGAGCCTGAAAGGTTGAGGCTGCAGTGAGCCATGATTGTGTCACTGCACTCCAGCCTGGGTGACAGAGCAAAATCCTGACTCAAGAAAAAAAAAAAAAAAAAAAAAAAGCCAAAAAAGGCAGAAAAAAAGAGATGGGACAAATACAGCACAAATAGTAGTATGTTAAGACTTAAACATAACTGTATAATAACATTAAATGGTCTGAACACAAGGCAAAAATTATTAAATTGTATTTTTAAAGTGGCCAAACTGTATACTATGTAAAAATCAACTTTACTTTTTTTTTTTTTTTAAGATGGAGTTTCCCTCTGTTGCCCAGGCTGGAGTGCAGTGACTCCATCTTGGCTGACTGCAACCTCCATCACCTGGACTTCAGCAATTCTGCCTCAGCCTCCTGAGTAGCTGAGATTACAGGTATGCACCACCATGCCTGGCTCATTTTTGTATTTTTAGTAGAGACGGGGTTCCACCATGTTCATCAGGCTAGTCTCGAACTCCTGACCTCAAGTGATCTGCCTGCCTTGGCCTCCCAAACTGCTGGGGTTACAGGTGTCAGTCACTGAACCTGGCCTCAACTTTATTTTTTTTTTGTCTTTCATGAAGATGGTGTCTTGTTATGTTGCTCAGATTCATCTTGAAATCCTAGGCTTAGGCAACTCTCCTGCCTCAGCCTCCCAAAGTGCTGAGATTATAGGCATGAGCCAGCACTGCACCTGGCCTGAAATCCACTTCAAATATAAAGACAAGTAGATTAAAAGCAAAAAGATGAAAAAGATACACTATGTTAACACTAGCCAAAAAAATCTGAAGTGGCTGTATTAATATTAGACAAAATAAGTTTCAGGGTAAAAAAAAAATATTACCAGATACAAAAATATCATTTTATAATGAAAAATGGGTCAATTCATTGAGGAGACATAGCAATCCTCAATGTTTATGCATCCAAAAACAGCTTCAAAATACATAAAGAAGAGAAAGAATTAGCAGAAGAAATTAATCCACAATTTTAGCTAGAGGTTTAACAACCCTTCCTCAATAACTGATAGAACAAATAGAAAATCAAGCTAATCAATTAATCAAAAATAATTATTTCAGATCAAGAAAATAAAAAATAATTGATTAATCTAAAAATTATTATTAAAAATCAGGCCAGGCATGGTGGCTCATGCTTATAATTCCAGCACTTTGGGAGACCAAGGCAGGTGGACTACTTGAGGTCAGGAGTTCGAGACCAGCCTGACCAACATGGTGAAATCCCATCTCCACTAAAAATATAAAAATTAGCCAGCTGTAGTGGCAGGCACCTGTAATCCCAACTACTTAGGCTGAGGCAAGAGAATTGCTTTAAACCGAAAGGCAGAGAGAGGTTGCAGTGAGACAAGATTGGGCCACTGCACTCCAGCCTCAGCTGTAGAGCGAGACACCGTCTCAAAAAAAAAAAAAAAATTATTATTTAAGATCAATAAAATTTCTAAATCTTTAGCCACACTGATCAGGAAAAGAAGAGAGAAGACACAAATTATCAACTTCAGGCATAAAAGAGGTGACTCACTACAGCATCCACAGACTTATTAAAAGAGTGGTAAAGGGAAATCGTAAATAATTTACAGATAAATTTGACAACTTAGATGAAGTGGACACATTACTTGAAAGACACAAAAGCTCACACAAGAAAAAATTGTTTAAGTAACCATGTGTCAACTAGATAAATTGAACTTGTAGTTAAATTTCCCACAAAAAAACTGGGCCCAGATGACTTCACTAGTGAATTCTATCAAATATTAAGAATTTTAGGCCGGGCGCGGTGGCTCAAGCCTGTAATCCCAGCACTTGGGGAGGCCGAGACGGGCGGATCACGAGGTCAGGAGATCGAGACCATCCTGGCTAACACGGTGAAACCCCGTCTCTACTAAAAAATACAAAAAAACTAGCCGGGTGAGATGGCGGGCGCCTGTAGTCCCAGCTACTCGGGAGGCTGAGGCAGGAGAATGGCGTAAACCCGGGAGGCGGAGCTTGCAGTGAGCTGAGATCCGGCCACTGCACTCCAGCCCGGGCGACAGAGCGAGACTCCGTCTCAAAAAAAAAAAAAAGAATTTTAAAAACACCATTTCTACACAAAATCTTTCCAACTCATTCTCTGAGGTCATAATTACCCTGATACTGAAACCAGATGACAACATAACAGGGAGAAAAAACCCACAACTTCCAACTAACATCCCTCACGAACATTGATGCAAACATCCTTAATTTATTTTTAGCAAATCAAACCCTATAATATATTTGAAAGATAACATATCATCACTAGGTTTTATTATTCCAGGAATGCAGGATTGGTTTAAGATTACAAAATTAATTTACCATGATAACCAAAAAAAGAAAAATTATATCATCTCAATAGACGCACAAAAAACATTTGACAGTTGGCAGCATTCATTACTTATAAAAACACTCAGTGGCTGGGTGTGGTGGCTTACACCTGTAATCCCAGCACTTTGGGAAGCCGAGGTGGGAGGATCACTTGAGGCCAGGAGTTCAAGACCAGCTTGGGCAACATAGGGAGATACCCCCACCCCCATCTCCAAAAAAAAAAAAAAAAAAGGCATTGTAGCAACACACCTGTAGTCCCAGCTACTCAGGAGGCTGAGGTGTGAAGATTGCTTTAAGCCCAGAAGTTGGAAGCTGCAGTGAGCTATGATTGTGTTACTGCACTTCAGACTGGGCAACAGAGTGAGATGCTATTTTAAAAATTGTATTATTATTTTTTTGAGACAGGGTCTCTGTCATCCAGGCTGTGTAGTACAGTGGTGCAATCACATCTTACTGCAACCTTGACCTCCTAGGCTTCAGTGATCCTCCCACCTCAGACTCCTGAGTAGCTGGGACTACAGGTGTGCACCACCATGCTTAATTTTTTAAAATGTTTCATAGAGATGGGGTTTCACCATATTGCCCATACTGGTCTCGAACTCCTGGGCTCAAGCAGTCCTCCCAACACTGCCCCCTAGAATACTGGGATTACAGGCATGAGCCACCCTGCCTAGCCTGAGACTTTCTCTCTTAAAAATAACAAAAACAAGTGTTTGCTTCGGCAGCACATATGCTAAAACTAGAATGATACAGAGAAGACTAACATGGCCCCTGTGCAAGGATGACACACACATTTGTGAAGCGTTTCATATTTTTTAAAAAAACAAAACAACCACTCAGCAAACTAGGAATAAAAGAGAACTTCTCTCAACCTCTTAAGGGGCATCTGTAGGAATCCTACAGCTAACATCATACTTAATGGTCCACTCTCATCATAGCTCCATGTCCTGGAGGTTCTGGTCAGTGGAATCAGGCAAGGGAAAGAAAAAGAAAGGCATCAAGATTGGAAAGGAAGAAAAAGAATGATCTTTATTTACAGATGACAAATTCGTCTATGTTGAAAATTCTACGAGATCTGCAAACAAAGCTGTTAACCAGAGCGACTAAGATTATAAGATACAAGTTCAATATACAAAAATCAGTTTTATTTCTACACACTAGCAACACGGAATACTATACTATGTTCAATAGCATCAAAATGAAGTACTTAGGAAAAATGAGACAAGGCTGGGCGCGGTGGCTCAACCTGTAATCCCAGCACTTTGGGAGGCTGAGCCCGGCGGATCACCTGAGGTTGGGAGTTTGAGACCAGCCTGACCAACACAGAGAAACCCGTCTCTACTAAAAGTACAAAATTAGCCAGGTGTGGTAGCGCATGCCTGTAATCCTAGCTACTCGGGAGGCTGAGAGCAGAAGAACTGCTTGAACCCAGGAGGCAGAAATTGCAGTGAGCTGAGATTGCACCACTGCACTCGAGCCTGGGCAATAAGAGTGAAACTCCATCTCAAAAAAAAAAAAAAAAAAAAAAAAGGACAAAATATATAAGAAAGATATAACAAAAACTACAAAATATTGCTTAGAGAAGAGTAAGAACACCTAAATAGGCATTATCTTGTTTGTGTGTTGGAAGTATATATATACACATATATACACATGCATATATACATATACACACACACACATATATATATATATATATTTTGAGACAGAGTCTCGCTCTGTCACCCAGGCTGGAGTATAGTGGCACAATCTCAGCTCACTGCAACCTCCACCTCCCAGGTTCAAGCAATTCTCTTGTCTCAACCTCCTGAGTAGGTGGGACTACAGGCGCATGCCACCACGCCCGACTAATTTTTGCATTTTTAATAGAGACGGAGTTCCACCACATTGGTCAGGCTGATCTCAAGCTCCTGACCTCAGGTGATCCACCTGCCTCGGCCTCCCAAAGTGCTAGGATTACAGTTGTGAGCCACTGCGCCTAGCCTTAATATTGTTAAGATGTCAGTTTTCCCCAAATTTACATATAGATTCAACATAATCTCAAATCAACATCATAGTATGCTATTTTGTAAGAAATTGAAAAGCTGATTCTAAAATTCATATGGAAATTCAAAGACCTTGAATAGCCCACACAACTTTCATGAAGGAACAAAGTTGGAGGACTAAAACTACCTTATTTCAAGTCTTAATATAAAGCCCCAGCATTTGAATTTGAAAATACAATCATGGGCTGGATGCAGTGGCTCATGCCTGTAATCCCAGTACTTTGAGAGGCTGAGGTGAGAGGATTGCTTGAGCTCAAGTATTTGAGACCAGCATGGACAACATAGACCTCATCTCCACTTAAAAAAAAAATCAAAAACAATCTGAGCATGGTAGTGCATGCCTGTAGTCCCAGCTACTCAGGAGGCTGAGGCAAGAGGATTGCTTAAGCTCGGAAGGTCGAGGCTGCAGTGAGACATGATCACTCCACTGCACTCCAGCCTAAGTGACAGAGCAAGAACCTGTCTCAAAAAAAAAAAAAAAAAGCCACTTAGCTTAAAACACACATTATATAGCTATAAAAAAAATTATTTCTTTCTATCCTTATTCTATAAGCTATTTCTAGTTTTAAATGTTTTAATTTGATTTATTTTTTAAAATTTGAGACAGGGTCTTTCTCTGTCTCAGACTGGAATGCAATGGTGCAATCATAGCTCACTGTAACCACAAACTGCTGGGTTCAAGCAATCCTGTCATCCCAACCTCCCAAGTAGCTGAGACTACAGGAGTGCACCAACATGCTCAGCTAGTTTTGTTTACTTTTTTATTTTTTATTTTTTTTAGAAATGGGATTTCACTGTGTTGCCCAGACTGTTCTCAAACTCCTGGCCTAAGTGACCCTTCTGCCTTAGCCTCCCAAAGTACTACAACTACAGGAATGAGCCACTGTGCCTGGCCTTTAAATTTTTTTTATTACTTTTTAAATTTTTTTGGTCAAAAATTTAGATACAAATACACATTAACCTAGGCCTACAGAGTCAGGATCAATAAAATCACTATCGTCCACCTCCACATCTTGTCCCGCTGGAAGGTCTTCAGAGACAAGAACATGCACGGAGTTGTCATCTCCTATATAACAATGCCTTTTTCTCCTGGAATTCATCTCCTGTATAACAATGCCATCTTCTTCTGGAATACCTCCTGAAGGATCTGCCTGAAGCTGTTTTACAAGTAGCTTATGATATGGTTTGGCTCTGTGTCCCCACCCAAATCTCGTCTCAAATTGTAATCCCCACATGTTGAGGGAGGAACCTGGTGGAAGGTGATTGGATCATAGGGGCAGTTTCCCCTATGCTGTTCTCATGATGGTGAGTGAGTTCTCACGAGATCTGATGGTTTAAAAGTGGCAGTTTCCCCTATGCTCGCTCGCTCTCTCCTGCTGCCATGTAAGATGTGCCTTGCTTCCCCTTTGCCTTCCACCATGATTGTAGGTTTCCTGAGGCCTCCCCAGCCATGCAGAACTGTGAATCAATTAAACCTCTTTTCTTTATAAATTACCCAGTCTCGGGTAGTATCTTTATAGCAGTACGAAAATGGATTAATGCAACTTTTATATATATATATGATGGATCATACATTAGACCACAAAACAGGCCTTCTATGTACACACACACAGGCATATATATGTATGTGAAGAAGAACATTCTAATACAATAATTAATGCTATTGTAAACACATAAACTAGTACCATAGTCATCTATTATCGTTAAATATTATATACTGTATATAATTGTATATACTGTACTTTTTGTTATTTTTATATAGGATCTTACTCTGTTGTCCAGGCTGGAGTGCTGTGACTCATTCACATCTCACTGCAGCCTCAAACTCCTGGGCTCAAGCAATCCTCCTTCCTTAGTCTCTTGAGTAGGTGGGACTACAGGCACATGTCACTACACCAGGCTAATTTTTCTTTCTTTTTTTTTTTTTTTTTTTTGCTGTAGAGATAGAATCTTGCTTTGTTGCCCAGGCTGGTCTTAAACTCCTGGGCTGGTCTTGAACTCCTGTTGACTCGAAATTTTATATCTGGCAACATTATCCTTGAAGAGCAAAGGAGAAATTAAGATATTTCCAGTTAAACGAAAGCTGAGGGAGTTCATGACTAGCAGACCTGCCATATCAAAAATGCTAAAGGAAGTTACAGGCATTCAGTCTGAGACGAAGACATTAGACAGTGAGTTAAAGCCATAAGAATAAACAAAGAACATTGGTAAAGGTAACTACTTAGGTAGACATACCAGCTAGGATTAGTGCATTTTTAATTTGTGACTCCTCTTTTTTTTCCTTTTCTTTTTTTTTTTTTTTTTTTTTTGAGATGGAGTTTCACTCTGTCACCCAGGCTGGAGTGCAGAGGTGCGATCTTGGCTCACTGCAACCTCCACCTCCCAGGTTCAAGTGATTCTCCTGCCTCAGCCTCCTGAGTAACTGGGACTACAGGCACGTGCCTCCACGCCCAGCTAATTTTTGTATTTTTGGTAGAGACAAGGTTTCACTGTGTAGGCCAGGCTGGTCTCAATCTCCTGACCTCATGATCTGCCAGCGTCGGTCTCCCAAAGTGCTGGGATTACAGGTATGAGCCACCGCACTCAGCCTTTTCTTCTTATATGATTTAAGAAAAGCAAGTATGGCCAAGCATGGTGGCTCATGCCTGTAATCCCAGCACTTTGGGAGGCCGAGGTGGGCAGATCACGAGGTCAGGAGATCGAGATCATCCTGGCTAACACGGTGAAACCCTGTCTCTACTAAAAAATACAAAAAATTAGCCAGATATGGTGGCACATGCCTGTAGTCCCAGCTACTTGGGAGACTGAGGCAAGAGAATGGCGTGAACCTGGGAGGTGGAGTCTGCAGTGCCAGCACTTTGGGAGGCCGAGGTGGGCAGATCACGAGGTCAGGAGATCGAGATCATCCTGGCTAACACGGTGAAACCCTGTCTCTACTAAAAAATACAAAAAATTAGCCAGATATGGTGGCACATGCCTGTAGTCCCAGCTACTTGGGAGACTGAGGCAAGAGAATGGCGTGAACCTGGGAGGTGGAGTCTGCAGTGGGAGACTGAGGCAAGAGAATGGCGTGAACCTGGGAGGTGGAGTCTGCAGTGAGCTGAGATCCCACCACTGCACTCCAGCCTGGGCGACAGAGCGAGACTCTGTCTCAAAAAAAAGAAAAAAAAAAAAAAACAGCAAGTACATAAAACATAATTACAAATCTAAGGATAAGATGTAATTGTGATAATAACAATTTACATGGGAAGGAATATGAATGTGTGGGAGCAGAGTATGTATATACTTTTGAAACTAAGTTATATTTTTAAAACTAGGTTGTTATAAGTTTAAGATATTAATTGTAATCCTCAAGGTAACCACTAGCAAAATAACTTCTAAAAATTCAGAAAAGGAAAGAAGAGAATCAAAATTGTTTTCTACAAAAAAATTAATAAATGCAAAAAAGGCACTAATGGAGGAACCAAAGAACACAAAATAATATGACACAGAAAATAGCTGAATGGAGAAGAAAATCCTTCCTTATCAATATTTACTTTAAATATAAATTAATAAACTCTCCAATTAAACGGTAGAAATTGGCAAGTTGGATTTTAAAAATCATGATCTGTCTATATCAGGGATGTTCAGCCTTTTGGTTTCCCTGAGTCACATTGGAAGAAGACGAATTGACTTGGGCCACACAGAAAATACACTAACACTAATAGCTGATGAGCTAAAAAAAAAAAAAATCACAAAAAAGAGCCTCACAATGTTTTAAGAAAGTTTACA